TATAACTTAAATTTTAATGTTATAAGCAATTTGAAATGATACGATGGAAAGAAATGTCAATTTGTCTTTAATTTAAAAATTTAGCTCAATCACAACAAAATCAAGAAAAGTGAAATCAATCATTTTCTTCTGATGACGAGCCAGATGAGCTATCGTCGCCTGTATATAATTTGATAATTCTTTTAAGGACTGTTGTCAAATGTGACTGTTGCAAAATGAGACATGACGTTTGAGACAGAAAAATGAGGATGAATTATTTTTTTCAATATCATGATAAAATGATTTGGTTAAAAAACCCGGAGTCCACTCCGAGTTTTTTAACCAAAGCATTTAGTATAATATCAAAATATTCATATTAAATATTAGTATTTGGGAGATCGTTTATATATATTAGAAATAACAGGCATCCTAGGACACTACCCTGTGGGATGGAAGTGTTGATAATTAGTGGATCTGAACGGATTTGTTGAATTTCCTTAGTGTAGCTATTATGGTGTTCAATTTTAACTTGATGCTCTCTATTTTGTAGATAGGATACGAACCATTTGTGTGCCCTACCTCGAATACCTATTTCATATAGCTTGCTTAACAATACATTGTACTGGACCCTGTCGTATGCTTTGGTCATGTCCAATAATATCCCTATGGTATATTGCTTATTATTTAAAATATTTAGAGCTTCTTGTATATATTTATAGACTGCTAATGTTGTTGAGCGATTCTTCCGAAACCCATTTTGAGACTCATTAAATATTTTGTATTTCTCACAAAAGGAGTGAACTCGGTTACACATAGCTTTTTCGAAATTTTTTGATGCTGTTGGTAGTAGGGCTATGGGTCGATCGATGGGATCGATTTTTGAGTGTTTCTTATGGATAGATCTTATTACAGCTTTTTTAGTTGGTTCGGGAAGGTGCCTTCTTCAAAGGATTGGTTAATTCATAAATAAAAGGGTAATAACAGTTCTTTTGTACAATGTTTGACTAGGAAAGGTGGAAGTTCATCTATACCGCTACTTTTTTGTTTTTAAGATTTCGAATAGTTTCGTGTACTTCGTACGGATCGACAGGTCGCAAGTACATGCTGTTTTCTGTAGGTTGTAAAGCTCGTGTACGATTACAGTTGTTACTATCTGAGTGATAGTTACTTATACCGACTGACGCAAAGAAACTATTAAAAGTATTCGCAACTTGTTTTGGCTCAGATATTTCCAAATTGTCATGTTTCAGTCTTATGTTGTGTCTTTCGTTTCTGACTTTTTTATTTGTACGTTCGTTGATCATACTCCACATGGTTTTTACTTTGTTGCTTGATTTCTTCATTTTATTTGTATAAAGTAGTTTTTTTGATGTTATTACAGCTTTTTTTAATAGTTTTTCGTATTTTTTATAGTATTCTAGCAGAACAGGGTTATTTATTTTTATTGTTAGTATCTTTAGCAATCTTTTATTTTTATATGATTTTTTAATGCTCGTGGTTAGCCATTGTTTTTTGCGAGTGTATGTAATTTTAACTTTTTTCATGGGTATGTATTTATTAGAGTTGCCGCGAATAGTGGTTAAAGCGAATAGTCGAATACCGATTAATCGCCATTCACTTTGGCGAATAGTCGAATAACTCGACATCACTATTCGACATAAAAAACACATTAAAAATATTTCTAATTTCTTCTAAGGTTGTGAGAAAAGAAAACAATAAAGTTAAAGAAATCTGTTTCGTGTTATACATATTTACATATATGTAGTAAATTTAATTTTCCACTTTTAAATGCTGGCAACACTTTTCATAGTTTACGGGGAATACCCCGTTTTGTATAACCCAGCGTTTATTATTATAGGGGATTTCCCGCTCAATCAATACGCTTGTGTTTAGGATAGGCAGCACGCATTTGTTATTTGATTTTAGACATCGGTTGTCGTGTTTTTATTTCTATACTTATTTGAAAATTGCTAATGAATTAAAGACTTGATGAATACTTAATTAGTTAAAGTGTTACTTAAAAAGAAGAACAATCATAACCCAGGAAAAAAATCTCATGTTTGGATACATTTTGAAGAGGAAGAGTTAGAGAACAGTGCAAAATGTGTTTTGTGTGGTGTAAAAATAAGTAGATCAGCAAAAAAAGCAGGAACGGTTTTGCAGAATCATTTGAAATTCAAACACCCAGGTTAGTTTTTTTTTTACTTATATATACTTTATATATATACTTTGGTAAGAATATAATATTTGTTTCAAAAGTTATTTTCATTTATGAAGTATATTGTACTATTGTGAGTTTTGTAGCACATTATTTAAATAATTGCCGCTACCTACGTTCCTGATTAAGGGTTCTTTTCTTTGTTCGCAGATGAGTATTGTAAAATTTATGGAAGCTCAAGTAGTCATGCTCAACATAATGCTCCTTCAGAGTCATCTTCAAGTACCTCCTCGTCCACCCAGTTGCCTAGTCAGCCTTTGGGTGCAACAGTCACTGCAACAACTACTTGAAAAAAAAAAAGCTCTGGGACATCAACGATAGCCGAGCAAAAAGATATCACTACTTGATTGGTGAAATGATTGCTGTTGACAACGAGCCACTTTCCATCGTCGATCATCATGTGGGCTTTAAACGTCTTATTAATAATGCTTTGCCGCAATACACCATTCCTGGCAGGACATATATCACCGAGAAAATAATTCCAGACATGTATGAGAGAGTGGTTAACAAACTAAAAAACTAGTTAGAAAGGGCTGAAGCTATAGCATTTACTAGCGATCTTTGAACTTCTTCTGTAAATAATGCTGCATTTCTGAGTTTCACAGGACACTGGATATCAGAAAACTTTAAACTGAATCATGCTGTTCTAAACATGGCACATTTTCCTGAATCACACACATCAGAAAATATCAAAAGAGAACTGTTACAGTGTGTAACGAAATGGGACATACCCATCACTAAAATATCATCAGCTGGTGATAAATAATGCATTAGATAACAGTTCTCCAATAAAATAAATTCTTACTAGTGCCCGCCGCATAGTGACACATTTTAATCATTCAGGATATACAAAACTTGAAAGTATTCAATCTGAGCTCGGACTTCCTAAGCATAAAATGATTCAAGGTATTCAAACTCGCTGGAACTCAACATATTACTTACTGGAGCGTCTATCTGAACAAAAAAGAGCAATTGCGGTGTATATTTCAGAATCAAGGAGCGTTAATTTTGAAAATTTGACCAGTGATCAGTGGGAGGTTATAGAACATCTGTTAAAGCTCTTAAAACCTTTCGAAGAGATAACAAAAATCACGAGTTCCACATATGCACCTATATCAGATGTGATACCTAGCACTGTTTCATTAAGCAGATACCTAATGAAAGATGCGCTGATTCAACAAACTGCACACGTTGATGATTTTAGAAAGGCGTTGATAGAAAATATGGAAGCCCGTTTTAACTTGGACGATCTATGCTTTAGGAAGACATATTACTTGTCGACATTTTTAGACCCCCGCTACAAGAACTTTTACTTTGACGCTACCCAAGTTGAACGGATCCATAGAGCTGCGCTCAGAGAAGGTCTTAGGCTTTCTTTAGATGACGAAAATGATGATTCGGATCCAGAAACGGCATCCAAAAGGTCTCGTTTAGACAATGAAAGTGAGCAGATCGATTCGGAAACTCATAAACTATTTTGGGCATGTTTTGAAGAATCATCTATAGAGCAACCTACTGAAGAGCAACCCAAGAATGCCACTGCTGAAGAAATCGCCAACTACATCGCATTACCAAAGGCTGACAGAAAAATAAACCCATATGAATGGTGGACTTTGAGTACCAATAAGAATAGATTTCCTATTTTAAGTAAGCTTGCTAAACGATACTTAATCAGACCAGCAAGCTCTGTTTATTCAGAAAGACTATTTTCCGAGGCAGGTTTAATTTACGAGGAAAAACGAAACCGACTTGCTCCCGAACGTGCAGAAAAAAATGTTTTTTTTGCACCACAATCTGCCTCTGTTGGATTTTAAATATTAATTAAAAAGCCTAACTAATTTAATTTCATGAATATGATAGGCACAGGCACATATTACAGATAATAATTGATATTTTGTATTGTTTTAATAGGGAAAATAATTAAAAAGATGTTTATTTTTAACTCATTAGTTTTTTTGTTCATTAAAAGTTTATTTTCGACGACTATTCGCCGAATGCCGAATAATAAATTAATAATAATAAATTTATTTATTTCAGACATTAGTCCATAGATATGTTAGTAACAGTAATCTTAATACTAGCTATTATTCGGTATTCGACGAATATCAAAAAAATGACGAGTAATGCCGAATACCGAATAATAGCGAGTATTCGCGGCAACTCTAGTATTTATTAAGTATTTTTATTATAATTGTGTTAAAAAAGCTGTATTTTCATTGATATTTTTATCTACTGTTAGTATGTTTGACCACTTCATATTTTGTAATTCGTTTTTAAATTTTTCTATGTTAAAATTGTCAAATAACCTTTTCTTTATGTACCAAGTGGTATGCGTATTTTGTTGGGCTGTTTTCATATAGATAATAGCACCGTTATGGTCTGAGAAGCCAAATTCTTCAACTGACGTGTAAAAAGTGTGGATATTAAAATTTGTGAAAATTAAGCCCAAGCATGTGGATGTAGTCAGCGTTATGCGAGTTGGTTTTTTATGTGTTGCGTAAATTTGTGTTCTAACATAAAATTTAAAAATTTGTTTGTTTTTAACCCTTAAAGTTACTTTGTATAGTGTAGTATACATATAACTTTAAAAAAATATTACTACACTTGTGCTAATTTTATCTGAGTTCCTTCATCACAGATCACACTACCGAACGTTTGCTTTTAATTCAAAATATCAATTCGTAGTTAATCTGTGGTAAATTTGTATCAGTTGTCAAAAATAACGACCACATCGCGTCCAGAAATTATTATCAAGGTAAGTTTTATTTATTTTCGTGTTTTAATTAATAATTATAGATTCTCAATGCAAAAATCGGTAAGGTGGATAGTTGTTCTATCCGTTTTGTTATATAAATTATGTGAAAACTATTTTATTTTGATTATTTTTACTTGTTTCTATCTATGTATGGTATACTATACAATGCAACTATAGCTACTATTTGGCATTATTTTAATTGGTATGGTATATTATACAATGCTATGACGACTGCACGAATAGCGTAGTGGTTTAAGCGGTCACCTCGCCGCTTCCTACTACGCCGAGTGTTGTGGGTTCAAACCCCACATGGGACGACACTTTGTGTGATCCACAAATTGTTGTTCTGAGTCTGGGTGTTCTTTGTGTCCGTTTCATGTATGTTTGTAAAGTCCCCACGACACAGGAATGTATTCCTAATGCGGGAGTTGTCTTTTTATAAAAATAGAAATAGAAATATGATCGCTACACCTTACCTCTTTTTTTGCATGTATGGTATACTATACATTGCTACAATCGAAACGGTTTATTGCTACTTACTTGGGTAGAATTTAGTGGCTACGAATAAGGAATAAACATTTTTTTTTGATTTGTTATACACATGGTGCATTAATAACCTCCTGACTTTTATTTGGGTGTGGGTTTGTCTGCATGTTTGCTTAACTTTTTTTTAGATTACAATAAACGGAAGAGGCAGACACATATTATCTTTGGTGACGCCGCTAAATGCTGATTCTGATGGTAGTGATGACTCAAGTAGTGCTGGTGAAGTTAAAACAGTTGAGAGCTCACCGGTACCGTCCCTAGATTCGTCATTTGAAAGGCTGAACCTTCTCCGCAGCCCCACACCGGAGAAGGAAGTGGAGTCACAAACAAGTACTTTTTCGGATGTTGAGCAAGATACTTCTCAAGTTCCTCTCACGCCAATCTTGAACGCTGTGTTCCCAAGCCCTACGCAAAGCAACTATGACAAAATATCTTCGATTAACTCATTGCTGTCTGTATCTTCCATCCAACTATATTCTTCTATGACGAATGAGAGCCCATCAGGTACACGTGGACAAAGAAAACGTGCAGCGCCCTCTGTTCCAGTTAATAAAGTAAAAAAGCGCTGTATCAAAAAACTAAATTTACGTTTCCGTTGGAAGAAAGCTACGTTTCAACACAGAGCTGACATACCTGATCTAAGGTTTGAAGATGAAGTTCCGGTAGATTGGTCACCCTTAGATTATTTTTACCGATTCTTTCCCAAAGATATGGTGAAGCATATAACGATAAACACAAAGGACAATGGGCAAAAATGTATGGCGCTTGTCCCATCGGCGGCCACATCTGTCCTATATATTTTTTAGTCAACAATTATGTATATATTAAGAGTGCAAAAAAATTTCGGCAACTTGTTTAGATAAAAAGTTATAAAGCGTTGATCATATAAAAAATCGAATTAATTAATCCGAAAGTAAGTAAATGATAAAACGTAATGCATATCTAAGTATAAGATAATGATGGATTAAATAAAACTAAAGGTTTATTGGTTATTAAATACATCGATTTATTGACAGACACATATACAATGCTCGTATATAATGCTAGTATTCCTTTAAAAAAAGAAAATGATGGGATTCAATTGTCGTCTACAATAACATCGTTTAAAAAATGAGCTGGTAAACGGATCTCTTCCTCTTGGTTTCTCGCCCACCCTAAATGCCACACTACACACATAATGTGGGCACAGCAACCAAGAGTGCGTTTACCGCTTAGACAACTGCAATAGTAGTTTTCTATGACTTCTCTGCCGCTTTTCTCTCTATCTACTATAATGTACGAATAATATATTTTTGACCTAGTATGTCTAGATTGTATTCGACATCTTAGCAGCCAAACATTTGTTGCTGTGATGCCGTACCTGCCTAGGCCTGTAACATCGGAATCCCTATACGTTTCTATATGATTGACTGATCGCTTGCGCCGTGCGGTCGTGTTCGCTATAAACCGGGTACCATAGTAGTAAACAAAGATATATCATCGCTAGTAATTTATATTTTTATCTTATTAATCCAAGCTTTATGTGAAATTATTTCTCACTGAAATTTTAGAAATCGTTTCTTTTTTCTCTAAAATGGCAAAGTGTGCTAAGTGCAGCAAGGTAATTACAAAAAAATTAGCCGGACTGCAGTGTGGCAGGTGCAATAAATGGTGGCATGCAAGCTGTGCATCGTTAACTACCGAGCAATTAGGCGCCCTAACAGCTGTGGAGTCCGCAGATAGGAAGTGCAAGCCTTGATCTAATCAGACCAATCAAAGACGAATCTCAGCCATCCTCCCAGATGAAGAGGATGTAAATACTGACTCTGAGATAGCAGGGCTAGCAAACCATGGCAGTATGATGCAGGAAATACGGCGCCAAATCAGAGAAACCATACAGGAAGAAATGAAAAGAAGTCTCCAGTTTTTCTCTGACAAATTCGACGAATTTCAGGAGGCAATCAATAGCTATGAAGAAAAAATCAATCAATAGCTATGAAGAAAAAAATGGATAGACAATACAAAGATTTAAACAACAAATATACCCACATTAAAAATAAATCAGAATTTATGGAACAAAAAATAAACGCAATAGAACAAAAAAGCATGAATAATCAGCTGGAAATATGCGGGATCGTCAAACAGAAAAATGAAAATCTCTCGCAAATAACACAAAAAATCTGTGACAGATTAGAAATGGAAGCAGAAAGCGTTATCAAAGTGTACAGAAAGCAAAACAAATCTACCGACGGTCAGAAGAGGAATGCAGGAACCCTGGTAATAACTCTGAAAGAGGATCAACGGGATGCATGGTTGGAAGCAGCAAAAACGAAGGTCATTACGGAACGAGATATCGGAAGAGAGGGTAACTCGAAATTATTTCTAAGGGAGGCACTTTCTCCTACTACTGCTCACCTCCTTTGGCGTGCAAAGTCGGAATTAAAGCTTACAAATCTGGTCAAGTTTGTGTGGTGTAAACGCGGCAACATTCTCATACGGAAAACCGAGTCGGACAAAATATATGTTAATCGATTAGGAAATGGACACAAGAAATAAGTAACAACAAACCGTGAGTCTGTTCCGCTTTCTAATTGTGTTGCAAATCGTCATTAATGTATACCTACACCTACCTAACCATGTCTAATCCTCTATGGATAGTACAACTAGTAATATACTAGAAAGAACTTTTGATACCTGGAATGATTATATGACATCATTACCTAAAAATAAACAGATATTAACAACTTTACATGTAAACATAAGGTCAATCACATTGAACTTTGCACAGATTGAACTTGTTGTGCTGACTGAAGTAAACATTGGGGATACCTGCTCACTTTTGTTTGAAATACCCAATTACAATATGTACACTAACCTAAGAGCCAACAAAAAAGGTGGAGGTGTTGTGCTTTATATACATAAGAGATTAAAATTTACAAGGTCACCAATATGCTCATTCTTTAGCGAAGTTATCATGGGGCGAGCAGAAATTAATAATGAAAAAAATACTATAATTTGTCTTTATAGACCCCCTAATCTCTCAGTCGCCAGTTTCACTAGAGAAATTAAATACTTAATTCAAAACAAAGCCGAAAAATGTAATATTTTACTCGTTGGTGATATGAATCTGGACATTATGAAAAACTGTAATATAAGACATGATTATATCAACACATTACACGAGTTGGGGTTAACGAGCTGTATTAATCAATTTACACGTGTTGAAAAGAGAGGTAACTTGGTCACAAAGTCATGTATAGATCACATATTCGTCCGGGGCAGCACAGCGACAACTGCTACTATCTATTCCGCGGTAATAAATGAGTCGCCAGCTGACCACTATATAACGGCATGCACACTCCTAACTGAACGGCGGCCGCAGGACGATGTAAACAAACGCACTATTTATACCTACGATAGTGAACGGCTGGTGGCTGAGCTGCGCCGAGCGAATTGGAATGCATGTCTTTAATGCGATAATATATGCAACATATTTGCGAACTCGTATGAGCTATGTAAACAACGTAAAACTAGGTTAAATAAGTACAAATCTAACGCTTGTAACTGGGTCAATGAAAGAGTAATATACATGTGTGAACAGCGTAATGCCTTATTAAAAATATACAAAAGGGCACAAACTATAGAAAATAAAATAATCTACAATAAATATAGAAATAAAACGAATAAATATATTAGTCACACAAAAAACAGGTTCTTTAAGAATGAGATTATCAAAAACTTTAACAACTCTAAAAAATTATGGCATTTTACAAATGTGTTATGTTTTAAAGTCGTTAACTCAGTCGACGAAATAATTCAAAAATATTTTTCTTCATCTTATAGTGATGCGGCGAACTTGTTTGCAAAGGAGTTTAAAAAACACAGATATAAATATGAATTCGTGTGGAAAAAAAATGTCAACTGAGGTAACAAACGATACCGAAAAAGGGTTGGATGTGACGATGCGACTGCAAAAGAGAAGTAACGAGGAAACATATAAAATTATCAACAAATTGAACATTAATAAAAGCCCAGGTATAGATGGCATTAGAGCAATTGACATAAAACATATTAACAAAGAAATAACTCCCGTAATTACTCATCTGATTAATAGATGGATCGCTTCATCCAGCTACCCAGACAACCTAAAACTAGGCGTGGTGCGCTCCATATACAAAAAAGGTAATCACGAGGATTGTAATAACTACCGCCCCATCACCATACTATCCTGCATTGACAAGGTAATTGAGAGGTACATAGGAGATAAACTGAGCCATTTCTTACACTCGCATAATATAATTAATTGTAAACAGTACGGATTTCAAAAAGGTCGAAGTACATCTCAATTACTGTGTCAATTTACCAACGAAATTAACGAGCACCTGAATGAAAAACGTCACGTGCTCGTTATTTTCGTTGACTTTAGCAAGGCTTTTGATATGCTACAATATAATGTATTGTATGAGAGGTTGGAGCAGAATGGTATACGAGGACCACTACTGCAGCTTTTTAAAAATTACCATCAAAACAGGTGCACGAAAGTAAAAGTAGGAAATACATACAGTACCAGTATAAATACAGACAAAGGCACCGCACAAGGTTCGATAATCGGCCCAAATGAATACATTATTTATGTAAACCAAATGTGTAAATTGTTTGCACACGGCTCCGTATACCAGTTTGCTGATGACACCTGCCTAATGGTAGCTGAAAAATGTTTAAAAACTGCCGAGCTCAAACTTCAGGAAAACTTTAATATAATGTGCCAATGGGCGCACGACGCTGGCCTGGTGATAAACGCTCAAAAAACTAAAATTATGTGTATAGAATCATCACATAACGGGAGTAGCTACACTCCTAGTATAGTAGCGCACGATCATGAATGTCTTCATGGCAACCTTATGTGCAAGCCTGGCAGCCCGTGTTCTAAGTTAGACCAAGTAAACACACATATGTACTTAGGCCTCATAATAGATAACCGACTTAATTGGGGTGCCCATATAGATCACGTTTGTAACAAATTAAGAGCCATACTTAGCAAACTATATATTTTAAAGTACAAGATGCCGTTCAAAACTTTGCGTTTATTGTATGTGGCACTAGCCGACTCTGTTATTGGCTACGGCTTATGTAGTTACGGCCGCACATACAAAACATATATCGAAAAAGTATACAGGTTACAAATAAGATTGTTGAAAGCTATTGTGCCGCCTTATGTAAAATGTGACAATTACAATGAATTGTTTAAATACTGCCAGGTATTACCAGTACAATCTAAGGTAAAAATTGCCATTATGAAAGAAGAAATACTAAACATAGACCTGCTTTGTGAACAAACACGTAAAAGAAATTTAAGACAGCTGTCATATTTAAAGAAATATTCTGTGCCAAGTTTTAATAATGTATATGGAACTAGAACATGTCGTTACCTTCTACCTAATATTGTAAATGGTTTACCAGATCAAATAACTCATAAATATCTCACTAATCAACCTTATTTAAAAGATTTACAAAAACATTTATTGGAAAACATGGAAACCACTACTTCGTAGCTTGGTTGAAAGTAATGATTGAACATAGTACTCTGTCATAATGTTAAGTAGTGTTGTGTGTGCGCGCGTGTATGTGTGCATGTTCGGCATACATGTGGGAGTACATATCTGTGATTTTATAATATAGCTTCTGTTGTTGTTGTAGTCATCATGCGAACCTACGCTCGCATAAAAACCTGAGTGGTTTAAGCGAGTGGCGTAGTTTTTTCTTAATAATGCACATTGTTAGCTTCACTTGGTATGTACCAAGTGCAAAAATGGTTAAATCCTCCTCAGTCAGCAAAGGAAAATCACTTATGTTAGGTTGGTTTCCTGTAATGCTATCGAAACTAGCCCATCTACGATTAAGGTTGTTGGCTAGGACATACTCTGCTAGGTTATTTGGTTGGTTCATTCTTTGGTTTATAACCTCTATAAATGTTCCAGCGTGAACGCTATCTGACAATGGTTCTCTGCAAGAATTCAATAATGCAGCACCTATTCTAAAATCTGTCATCATATGAGGCAAAGCACGATTGAAAAAGTCTTGTCGGAATAGTTTAATATCGCGTTTGAACCAACTATTTATAACTTTAACAACCCAGCGGCACATAGTAACCAACCTAGACTTATTCGCTTGTTCTGTCGTCAATTGATCTTCGTCTCGATTTTTTGCTTTCGGTAAGTGAGCTTCATAACCATAGGCATGTAAGTCGTCGATTAGTCGTCTGATTCTATGGCTGAATATGGCCCAAAGGCATCTAAAATGTGGCCATCGCAGCACACTATTAAAAACGGTTTCAACAAATTCGTGTATTTGTGTAGACTGTATGATCGCTTTTGGAATAAATAGTTTGCGGACTTTTGTATATATATATATAAGTGGCGTCTGCTATCACAATTGCCTTTCTGTTTAAGGCATTTGCATTTCCAAAAATTGCATTTGGAACTTGTAGGTTTCGGTTAGCTACATCAATTCTATTGAGATGATCATAACCGAGATGCCGGGAACGAAGTCCAGTAAAAGAGAGTCTCTGGCGAACGTTAAATGTCGTTCTAGGGTTCTACGGCTCATATTAAAAAGCGTCGCCAGCCTTTCATTTGCTTCACCGCTTCGCAGTTTCATTAAGTAGCATGTAGCATTGTCACTGGGCTACTTAGGTTTAGTTTAACACCATAGTAAACTTAAATACACGTCAACTAATATTTTTTGCTTATGATTAATACGGAGCTAGTTGTTTACTTGGCAAACAGCGCCATCTCTCCGCAACAATAAGCAGCTGTATAATATCTAATTATCATAAAAGCTATAGCTTTGTTTACATTTCTTATTAAATAATTATTATTATTATTTACTAACCTTACTTTATACAATTATAAAACAACCCAAGTTTTAAGTTTAAACTTCTAATGAATAATTCAACGAATCTTTGAACCATGCATAAACTCAAATCTATGCGTACTCGTAAACCCCTTGAATTCTGTAGTTATGATCATAGAGCCCGTATGAGTCGTTTACTTAACCGAGCACGACAAGTGTGGGGACACTTTTCAGGGGTGAAAGCATTATTAGTAATAAATCTGAAGCTTCTGGCGGTGATTTTCATTAGCCATAATTTCAGTGACTCAGTGCATGCTGAAAATTATATTTTAAATGATAACGCGACCGATGATGTGACACTCAGTAGTGATGATGGCCAGGGTAGTGACAGATTTCAGGATATGTCAGACCATGCATCGACAACTGAATCTTTGGATTCGTTAAATTCTACTGTAGTATCTAATCAAGGCGATGCATTAGGCAATATCGAAGCTTTTGAAGCTCATCTTGCCACAGCTTTCACAGAAGCCAATATGAATCATCAGCAAATTAAAAAAAATAAAATCAGCAAAATTATTTTGAAAGCTCTGAAAACCCATGATTGTTTTTCTACTTTGCACGACGATCCCCGAACAATATTGAAGACTCCTAATTTCTCTACTCCTACTTTGAAAATTGCTTTAGGGGAGTATCTTCATTTAGGTGTTGAACAGGGTCTTAGTCGCATTCTTTTGTCCGCTCCTCCGGAAATGATTCGGTAAAATTATTGTGTAGCCCATTCAAATTAGAATTGTGAATATTCCAGAGATTGTTGATATTTTCAAAAGTGAGAAAAAACTAACAGATGCTACATTGTTTTTTCAACTCGTTGTCGATAACTTTAATAGAATTTCTGAAACTGGTATAGATTTTCAGGGTGAAACTAAATTTTTGAAATTCCGATGTTTTATTGCTGATGCACCTGCGCGATAAGGTCACTGTGGACATAATTCTAAAGCTCCGTGTTCTAGATGCTGGGTTAGAGGGGAGCTTATTCGTCCAGGAGTAACGGTTTATCGTGGTATTGATCATGCTCGTCGTACGCAGGATGAGTATGCATTACAAGTGGATACGGATCATCGCTACACAGAATGCCCTATAGGAAAACTTGATTTTAATGTAGTTTCAAATACTGTATTTGACTACATGCAGTTAGTGTGTTTAGGTCTTATGGAGAAAATGTTTCAGGGATTAATGCATGGCAGGTTTATACAATCAGCATCCTTTTCTGATTACCGCCCTATTTCCGTCCTCCCCTTTCTCTCCAAGGTCCTTGAACGTCTTATTCATTCTCAACTTAGAAGTTTCGTATCCAGAAACCTGCTCCTAAATCCTCTCCAGTCCGGTTTTCGACCCGGGCACAGTACCACTACTACCCTAGTTCATATTACGGAGGACATCAGATCTGCTATGGAGAATGGTGAGCTTACAGTCCTAACATTGCTGGACTTCAGTAATGCATTCAACACTGTTGACTTTGACGTTTTGCTGTGTACATTACGCTCTCTTAACATATCTCAAACTGTGATTGACTGGTTTCGCAACTACCTGTCTGGTCGCCGGCAGCGCATTAGTATTGAAAGCACTGTTTCTTCTTGGTGCAGTACTACAGCCGGTGTACCACAGGGCGGCGTGCTATCTCCGCTACTTTTGTCTGTTTTTATAAACACTATCACCAATGAACTATCTTCTTCCTACCACCTTTACGCGGATGATATCCAGATCTATGCTAGGGCTTCTCTGGCTAATCTTGCTGATGCTGTAGGCACTACAAAAGCTGACCTTGGTAAAATATGTAGGTGGAGCAACTCCCACGGCCTGAAAATCAACCCAACTAAGACTCAGGTCATTGTCATTGGAAGCTCGCGAATGATCTCCATAATTGACTGGACAAAACTGCCTCAAATTACTTGCAATGGTACACCTATTCCGTACAGTAATAAGGTCAAGAACCTGGTTATATACATGGATAGTACCTTATCCTGGGGTCCTCAGTTACAAGAGCTGAGTCGCAAAATGTTTGCCGCTGCAGGGTCGTTACGCCGACTACGCAACTTTCTACCTTTTTTTTTTTTTTTTTTTTTTTTACGTGTGGAAATCCCCTCGGACCGTCACCCCGCCGGGGCTCTCGTTCGGCGGGGCGGTGTGTCGGACTCGAACCGACTAAAACCACACGGTGTGCCCTCTTTGCGCTTCCAGTTTAGGAAGGGTCCAGGTAGCTATCTCCTTCTGGACCCCTCCCAGCGCCGGCCCGCTCCTGGCGCGGGCTCCGTCTCAGTGCACCCTCTCTTTAGGCGGCGTCCGGCACACGCGGACGTCGCCCCCTCGCGGCTGGCCAAACTAATGCGGGTGGAGGGGAGAACCCATCCCGTCCACCCGCGACCACACTCAGGGCGGCATGAGGCGCAGGTGAGCGCGCCTCCGCCGCCCGGTTCGCCGGCGGCGGATCAGGTCCGAGTGGAGGTCGTCCTCCCGGGCCTTCTCCGCCGCCTCCTTCTGCGAGATTACCTCCTCGCAGAAGGTTGCGACCGCGGTAAAACAACTGTCGCTACCGGCCATGGAGCGAAATATGGCCGGTAGCGAGAGATCTGCTCCGATGACTGCAGTGAGGGCCCGGCGCTGCGTCGCCCATGCGGGGCAAACCGCCAGCGTGTGCTAGGCCGAATCCTCACCGCAGTCGCAGTGGTGGCAGTCGGGACTCGATTCCCTCCTAGCGACCGAGTACAGGTACTTTCCGAAGCAACCGTGCCCGGAAAGCACCTGCGTCAGCCGGAAGGAAAGGGTCTCGTGCTGCCGCCCTGCCCACTCGGCGATGACCGGCTGGAGAGCCTCCACGGCGGCGAAGCCAGCGCGTGGAGTCTCCAGCCGGAACGACCATCTCACCATAGTGGCTCGGCGAGCGGCTTCGCGCCACTCGCGCACGTCTTCGGGCGGAGGGCGAAATCCGCTCTCCGCCCGGAAGTCAGCCACTCGCCGATACTACGCCGATCTATTACAATTCCAAGGTATGTATATTTCTCAACTATTTCAATCTGTGGACAGCAACATGTAGTATTTTTAGTATGTAAGCAACTATGATCGTGTGCGATTAGGTTTTTGATGGGCAACTGTTTAACATACGGAGATTTGATGATCATTAATTTTGTTTTGCTAGCGTTTAGTACAAGTCCTGTATCATGACACCATTTTGTTAGGACATTTAGGTCAGACTGCAGAAGATCACATGCCGCTTGTGGATTTTTGTTTCCAATAACAAGGCAAGTATCATCTGCGAACTGATAGCATGTACTATTGACAATGCAATTACCCATATCGTTGACGTAGGATAAAAACAGCAGCGGTCCAAGCACCGAACCCTGCGCCGTTCCCTCCGTAACCGACACTGTTTTGCTATATTCGTTATTCACTTTAACTGAAAATGTTCGATCTTTCAAGTAATTTTGACACCAATTTAGCAAAGGACCACGAATCCCACAATTGTCTAGCCTGTCTATTATTATCTGTGTGTGTGATCGTAAGTATGCAAGAAATCAAGTCTTACTGTCCCGCAGAGTTTGTCCATAGGCCTGACAATGCAGAAAAGCATAGTAAATTTAAAGCTACTGAACAGAGGCAAATACTTTTTTATACTGGCCCTGCAATGTTTTATGATTTGATGAATTCAGCTGTATTTATGCACTTTCTTCTACTTCATGCATCTATGAGGATATTTGAAAATCTTTAAGCTTCCAATGAATTAATCAACTTAGCAAAACAGTTCATAAAATATTTGTTGATAGAGCATCAGATGTTTATGGCATTGAATTTCTTTCATACAATACCCATGCTTTGTTACATCTTGCTGAGGATGTGAGATCATTTGGAACTTTAGATTCTTTTTCTGCACTTCCATATCAAAATAATATGACGTATTTTATAAAATTGAGCAGAAAACCCGCTCAACATATTTGGAACAAATTTCTGAAAGACGTGCTGAGAATTCTTCTGTTCACGTCAGGAAGCATGTTGATAGCAACTGTTTAAAATTTATCAGTTCACATTCAGATGGCCCAGAACCTAAAATTGATTATACCTATAGGCAATATAATAAAGTAGTTTATGGAGGATCTCAGGTATTATCAGTATTTCAGTCTGATTGTTAAATCGGGTCTTAGGTGGGCTACGGTCAAATGAAACTTCTTTTATAAAATAATCGACACGTAATTTAATGTCTTGAGTAATAGACCGTAAATAATAACTGTATGCGCAGTCGCAGCAGATCCTCATTCACGATGTCCCTCGTCGCGCCCCCGCACGTCGCACCCTCTCCCGGACAGAATCGGCCGTGGGTGCGCGTAGACATGCTGCCCGGGTTGAAGTGTTACTTCAAGAGAATGGAAGAGGACAAATATTGTTGAATCCTCGTCGAAGAGTCCCTTTCTTTGTCTTCACCCGGCGACCCTCACCACTCCATCGTTGCCGGGATAAATCTTCACAACACGCCCCAGAAGCCAGAGCAGAGGCGGTAGAGCCTTGTCTTTTACCAAGACAAGCGCACCCAGTTGCAAGTCGGTAGAGGCTGCAACCCATTTGTGTTTCTGTTGAAGTAGGGAAACATCATCATCATCATCAACAGCCTTTAACGGAGGACGGGCTCGGCGTGTACTGACACTACCACCGAGCAGGCAGGGGGACGTAGTCTCCTTGTCACCGTCGGCAGATCGTAATCCCGAGAAGAGCACTGTGGTCAAGTCTCGCGGCTCTATACGCGGATACAAATATGCACATTAACTTCCTCAAGCTTGGTAACTAAATGCTTTGGTTTATTGTATTCAATAATTGGTTTACTTAAATACTCTGGTCCGTTAAACCAAATAGAACTGTTAAAAAGTTCTCCGGGAGCTACACCACGAGAAGCGCAGTCAGGCGGGTATGTTTAGAAGAAACATGTGACCAATGCTTAATATCCAAAGTATTCAATATATCAGATACGCGATTGCTACAAAAGTTTTCCATCGGCTATGATGGCAATTTAATAATGCGAGAACGACTTCTGAATCTGTTCAAGCGTACAGATTCTCCTGTGCGATTTCAAGAACCTTAGCTAATTCTACGATAAGTTTAGCTAAAAGGACGGCTCCACAAAGTTCTAATCTTTGTATAGATACCTGTTTTATAGGAGCCACCTTTGTCTTTGAAGTAATTAATGCTACGTAACTCTAACGTATACTAAAGCCGCGTAAGCTGTCTTTGAAGCATCAGAGAACCCCTGAAGTTGAACCTGGACATTGCTTGACTGTGTGCTATACCATCTTGGAATTTTTGTTTCCTAACGAAACCAAATCTTTGCGATAAGTCAACCATTCAGTTAATAAATCATGTGGAATTTATTGATCCCATGACAAACCTGCTAACCGGAATCTTTGTAATATTATCTATTTCTATCCCTAAGGCCTCGAGGTGCAAAATATTGTAGGACTTTTGAGGTGCCCATTTGTCATAATTATTATGGCCAAAGATGCAATAAATATTTAGTACCAACTATATATAACAGTTTACCTACAGACATAGAAAGTGCTTGTACTTCAAAACGGTCGTTTAAACACAAAGTAACAAAGTTTCTTCTAAATGTGATCAGTGAAAACATGACAGGAACCTAAAGTATAGTTATTATAACTATACTTTAGGTTCCTGTCATGTTTGTTATGTCATGTTAGTTAAGTATTTTTGTTAACAATAACTA